TTTTTTTTTTTTTTTTTTTTACTTAAGCACAAATACATTTTTTGCTATTCTCATGTGCTACTTTAGCAAAAGTAGCCTATCACAGAGTTACAACAAGCAATTTACTAGATAAAATTGGAACACCATGAATTAATTCAAATCAGAAGACATAAGCTAAATATCTTACCCTCATTTTCGCTTAAGAGAGGAGTTGTAATATCTGTAAGAAGCACAAGAGACAAAGAGTGGTGAATAAACTGGATAAATTAAAACATTTAACGATGTGATCATATAGAGTTATATGACTGCTTGTTTATGTCTAAATAAGTGTCTTATCTAAAGTGATTTAAATACTGGGGTGTGGAGCACTGAAGTACTGCTATCCTATAGGCCTACATTATTAATATTTTTTAGAATTTGAATAGAATATAATTTTATACATTTAATTGACATTTAACTTGACCCATTACATTTATTTATAATTTATCAGCGCTTTTTACGCCCTGATTGAATAACCTTAAAGATTTGAACTTACTCATTTCAATATCACCTACATGTTCTGTAAAACACAAAATAGATATGTTTTGTTAATTAATACCGAAAGCATTTGCTATAGCCTACCAGTAGTGGGTGAATTCTTACCTCTGGTGACACCTTCAGTCATCTGCAGTTTATTGACGGTTTCCCCTAGCTGTCTCGGTTTCCCCTGTCTTGGGCTAAACGTTTAAAAAGAAGCTTAGTATAGACCTACAAGGCTATTTTAAAGTAGCAATGTTTTATTTGTAACTTATGTAGCCTATCTGCATTAAAAATCTCTGTCCGTCAGTATTTAGGAAATATGAAGAAATTAACAGAAAAATAAACAAGCAATAAAAAATCTCAATAATATTTTAATATCTTACCACGTTAGACACGAATTTAACACCCAAGAAGGAAAATGCCTAGATTTATCTGCTATACATGTTCTTTTCCACATAGCCTATTTATTCAAAGCACAGTTAGATGAAATCGTATCTGAATAAACGATAACATCAATTGTTTTAACCCTTTCTACGCCACGAAAGTAGCCTACTACACCCGAGAGTACTGGGGCACCCGCCCTGATTCAATCCAGGTTATGAACGTGTTACAAAACAAGTCATCCAAGAAAATGCTCGACTTCCTAACCAGTTGAAATATAAACCAGGGGCGTCGCTATAGGCCCTTTTTTAGGGGGGCTTCATCCCCCCCCACCCACTCCCCGAGACCCCCTAATATTAAAATCCTAAAAACGCCATTGATACAAACCTTACTATTTTAACGAATGTTACAACTTTTTGTAGTTTAATGGGCCTAGCTGATTTGTTGTGTATTATTCTGCGGTTTTGAAGGCTTCATTAGAAAAAATAAATAAATAAAAAAAAGGTAGGACCAGCATTTATGAGTGTGAAAGGACTCTGCATAAAATACTTAAGTAATCATAACCGAAATTGGCAAACAGCTCAAATGATCTCCAGAAAGACGTTGCCAAAAGATTTATTTAAAGTAAACCATTTAAATACAACATTTGAATCCCCTTGTAATTTTAATGATTGCTCATAAGACATGCAGCATGTGAAAACTAAACATATTGTGCCTATTTAGGTGTTTTTCATTAGTGTAAAGATTTAAATCACTTGTGATAAAGGTTTACTGTCAGTAAATGGTAGACCTAAAGAACAAAAGAGTTCCAGATTTTGCGAGACACTGTG